TGCTATGGATGTGCACCTACTGCTGGGCCTGCAGCTGCAGCAGAGACCGCTTGGTTGCTCACCACCAGCCTTCTAGCTGCCCGGCCATGAAAGGGCGCTGTTTTCGATGCCACTGCCGCGGTCATGGTAGTAGCAATTGCCAAGTGACCTTGGGGGCGGGTGTTTGCTACCGGTGCTGAAGGCCGCAGAAGATTGGGGGTGATCGAGTGGTGGAGTGCACGGGGCGGGCCTGTGCCCAGCGCAACCGCGAGGCCATCCGAGCCTTGGTCGCGTCTGTGTCACGCAGTCAAACTTTGCACGGCATCATGCAGCGCATGGAGTGCCCGGCTGAGCTGCTGGCAGTTGGAGGGCGGGACTTTGACCCGTCGGAGATGCAGGCGCTTGTGGGCTGGCTGTACGGAGCAGAGGGGCGCGTTGGCCATCCGCGCGTGTTGAAGTTTGTGATTGAGGCGAAACGGCAGTTTGCAATGTTGAAGTGAGTGTTTGTTTGTTTTTCAAGCGGGGGTATAATTGAGACGTTTGACAGCTTGTGGGCCGTTTGTGTTGGACGACATACGCTGATCAAGCATGGATGTGAAGAGATACTGAAAAATGAAATCAGTTGCGTTGGAGGGGAAAGGAATTGACGATGGCAGGGAAACATCGAAGGAAGAAATATGGATGAGTAATGATGAAAGAGTAGAAATGAGAAAAAATGTGGAATGGAGAAAAAGAATTAGATTCCTTCCAAGGCTCGTGAAAATCGAAAATAAGTGCTTTTTCTGATGTGAGGAGTGCAATCGATAAGTAATCGAAAACGATCAAAAACGATAAGTACTCTTGATAAGTTCGAACTTATCGATGCCTCTTTAGTAAATCCAGATAGATAAGTGCTTGGGTTGACCGGTATTTGCCATCACTTACTAAGTATCGTTTCACTCGTTTTCGATTTTTAGTAATTACTAAAGCCGATAAGTTGTGCTTGAAAGGAATCTATTGGTTGGTGGTAGGTGAGGAAAGATAAGTTGGAAGGTGGAAGTAAAAAAATGTTGAATAAAGAGGAAATGAGTAGAGAAAAGAGGTGGAATATGAGGATGGTGTGAAGAAGGTGTTTTTGAAAAGGGGAAAAGAAAATAAGATAAAATTGAAAGAAAATGTGAGAAAATGAAGGGAAAAATAAAAAAAAAGTAGTAGGATGAAAGAAGTGATGAAAAGAAAGGGAAGTGAGGGGGATAGGAGTAGAGAAGGAGGAAAAGTGAGGAGGGAAGGTAGGGAGAAGAAGAAGAAGGAGGGAAGATAGGAAGGAGGAAAGATAGGAAGGAGGAGAGATAGGAAGGAGGAAAGATAGGAAGGATGAAAGAGAGAGGAGAAGAGAGGGAAGAAGAGAGGGAATGATAAAAGGGCTTTGTGTGACAACGCCAGTCAAATAACACGCTCTCTCTCACACTAGCCAACAGAAATTCTTGACGCTAACAACTGCGTCTTAATGTCATCACAAGGAAGGTGGATCATTCCCGGAATTCCTTACACTATTTGGGGCAGATTCGATGTTGGCGAATCCAAGGTTCGTAAGACCTGTTTCACCAAACCCCTCTATTCTCATGTTGACTATAATTCCACAATGCCCCTCTTTTTTTACTAAATTCACAATGCCTCTCTTATTTTACATGTCTTTCCAAATTCATAATGCCCCTCTTATTTTACATGTATTTCTAAATTCACAATGCCTCTCTT